GAACAAAGGCTGAACAAAGGCTGAGCAAAGGCGGAACAAAGGCTGAGCAAAGGCGGAACAAAGGCTGATCAAAGGCTGAACAAAGGCTGAACAAACCCGGCAACCCTAATTGAGGGATCCTCTACCTCCCCGAAAACGCACGCTGGGTTAAAGTAAGACCAATTGTTACATTAGCGAAAAGTCGACGTGGCCAATTATTTCTCCTTTTCATTTAAAATGTGGCACACAAAAGTCAGCCGTACAAAAAAGGGGGAGACATTCGACTAAAGCGTGCATACGGAGTTCCTCCCTGTTGCATGCCAAAAGGGGGTGCACATGTTCATATGTAACGTCATCGTCCAGTCGAAGGGTAAAATTTCCCTCCCCCCATCGGAGGAGTAACGCAAAAAAAAATAATCTCCGGACCATTTTAACATTTTGTAACCCCCGTATACTCCTCTCCTGGAGGTACCTCTCCTCATCTAGACACACTCGTCATGCACACATGTTTCCATTTTTATGATAAACAAAGGCACATATACATGTCCGCATGAAACCAACGCAGTGACATGGACGTTATTTTTTTCCCAATGGTCCGTATGTTCACCAAGTTTAGTAACTTCATCCACAAACATGTGCAAAAGAAAAAAAAAAAAGGGTTGCTAAATAGCACAACAAAGAAAGGGGGTGATAATTCTTTCGCTTTTCCACATCACTATGCCCCATTTGAACCAAATCATTGCCATTATTGTAAGAAGAAAAAAAAAACATCAGCTCGAGGGTATAACTGGATCGTTTAACACAAAAAAAGGAGGTTCCTCTTCTTGGTAAATTTAACCCGCAGAACTTCCCCTAGGCGCACTTTTGGCTCAGCCTGCCGTGGATAGTTGGGCCCACGGGGAAAAGTGGCATCAACACGACATCGACGGGCATGGTGCCGCCCATAAAAGTGGCTGTAAAAGTGGCCGCTAAGGTGATCCCCGCACCCCCATAGTCCAGCATTCCCTGCAGAAAGATAACTAGAAGTATCACGAAAGAGGAGAGCGCGATTACGCGAATGAGGCAGGGCTTCCCCAACTTGGTAGCGTCACGAGTGGGGCACTCGCGTTCATGCCAGAACACCCGTTCGGTAAAAAGCGTCCCACCGATGGTTCGGGAGGCGCAATTTGCATACATGCATAGATGTTTATATAAGGCAGTGAATATGCGCGCCTACCCCGTACACTGCACCATTTTGCTTCCTTTTTACATGCGCTTTTATTTTAATTCATTTTTTTTTTTCCTGGATTATTTAGTTCATATCAGTGTAGAGCGCCCCCTCACCATTAGCTATTCACCTTCCACAGCGAACATTAAAATTTTTCACACGTTACTTTTACGAAACGGACTCTACAATCATTTTCTGTTTTCCTTTCATGTTCGTCATGTTGGTCATATTCTAATAACATCCCTCCCCCCCAAGAAAAGGGAATTCCCCCCTCAGTAGTGCACTTCTTCCCTGAGGTTGAATATATTCATTCCCCTACTGATAGCCGCTACTGAGTGCCTTTACCCCTTTTTATTTTCTCTGCTATTGTTTTGGCTATATGTAACTACCTCTGTGAAGAGAACCTTCGACTGTAGTTCCTCCTCCCCCTGAGTGAAAATCTCAAGGCGCAACTAATTTTGGAAGAATTCCAGAAAGAGGGGCTCTTCTCTATTTTTTCATTTCCACATTTATTCTATTTTCTGGGAGCTTACTTCGGAGGAGTTCCCCTCAGTCGAAGTGTTTCCATCGGTTAACACCACGAATAGGCCTATCGCCTCGAGTAAGGCCATAGCCGCCTGAAGAGATATCGCCGCGAATCCCTTCTACGGCTTCTACCCACGATGGAGCAGGAAATCCAGGAGCAAGTGCACCTGACGGAGGACGGCGGAGTGGTCAAGACGATCCTCCGCAAAGGGGACGAAGGAGAAGAAAATGTCCCAAAGAAGGGAAACGAAGTGACGGTGCACTACGTTGGCAAGCTCGAAAGCAACGGGAAAGTCTTCGATTCATCTCGCGAAAGAAATGTACCCTTCAAGTTTCACTTAGGACAAGGAGAAGTGATAAAAGGATGGGATATCTGTGTAGCGTCCATGACGAAAAATGAAAAATGTTCAGTTCGTCTGGATAGCAAGTACGGCTACGGAGAAGAAGGCTGTGGAGAGAGCATCCCTGGCAACAGTGTGTTAATATTCGAAATAGAACTTATCAGTTTTAGAGAGGCCAAAAAAAGCATATACGATTATACCAATGAGGAGAAAATTCAAGCGGCGTTCGATTTGAAAGAACAAGGAAATGACTTTTTTAAAAAGAATGAAATTAACGAAGCTATCTCCAAATACAAGGAAGCATTGGATTTTTTTATTCATGCGGAAGATTGGGATGGAGAGTTATCTGAGAAAAAAAAAAACATCGAAATTATCTGTAACTTAAATCTGTCCACATGCTACAATAAAAATAAAGACTTCCCCAATGCCATCGCTCACGCGTCCAAGGTTCTTAAATTTGAAAAAAATAATGTTAAAGCGCTGTACAAGCTGGGTGTCGCTAATATGCACTTTGGTTTTTTAGAGGTCGCTCGGGAGAACCTCTACAAAGCTGCTTCTCTCAGCCCCAACAATGTGGAAATACGCAACTCGTATGACGCCTGCCTTAACAAATTGAAGGAGGCCCGCAAGAGGGACAAACTCACGTTCGGCGGCATGTTCGACAAGGGCATTCTCTACGAGGAGAAGAAGAGCAGCGCGAAGTGAAGCGGTGGGAAGGAGTGGGAAGAAGTGGAATGCAGTCCGAAGCAATCTGAAACAATCCGAAAGAATCCGAAAGAATCCGAAGCAGTGAAACGGTGCGCGGGAAATCCCCTCCTACGCACACATGCGGAATATTCCCGTGCAGTTCTTCTCCGCCCTCCTCTGCCCGGATCCCCCATACCGCATCTCTCCTCACAATGTGGGACCTTTCCGATGTATGGTCACCACAGGTGGTGTCCTTCCTCTGCAATGTTTGATTTTTCCCACTGGGTTAAGAAGTTTGACGAGTGAAGTGCCAACCAGTTATCGTAGCTGCTGGTAGTGGTGAGCGCCGGTGCGTCATCGCTGCGGCAGAGTCTCCATCTCGTGCTTTCAAACGTTTCACAATGAAGCAGGCAAACTTATGTGTGCAAATCAGTATGTGTACATAATATATGGATGGACGCACGCACGTACCCCCCTTCCACCCGTAGTAGGGGTAGTCTCTGCAGTGAGGCAGCCTCCTATGAGGCCGCTTCCAAGGATAGAAGATGCTTCTCCCCTAAGTGCACAATCTGCATAGCTGTCTCGGCAGAAATGGGGAAGCACATTCCCCCCCTGCGCACGGACAGGCATCCCTACATTTTCCCACCCTTTGTGGGAACATTTTTAATAACGTTTTTTTTCACAAACATGTATCGTTGCGGGAGCAGATTTTGTCCCGGAGCAGATGTTACCCCGGTGCATGTTGTGCACGCGCATGTTCCTCCCCCCTAAGTCCACGCGATGTACGTGCCAAAGAGGGGAGGCCCAACGAAAAAGTAGACCAAATTGGCCAATAGGATCAAGTTCCACTTATCTGAGTACTTGATCTGGTAGGCGTAGTGGGTATAGAAAAGGGGAGAGCTCGCAATGAGCCGCAGGATGATCTGCAGGAAGAGGGGGGGATAGCAGGGGAAGCGGTGAATTGGCCATGTTGTGATGTCATGGTGAGGTATCTTTCGTCGCTTCGACTTGGTCGGTCCGCTGCTCCCTCGCAACTACTTCCTCACCGCGCGTTCTCATCGCTCCTTCTCACCTCTCCGTGGGCAAAAATAAACAGGTAGAAAGACAAGACGCCTAGGTGGAGAACCTCCCCGAGGAAGGGGGGGATAAACAAAAGAGAAGCCTCCCCGTCGCTGAATGTCCGGTGCCGAAAAAAGTGATACACGACATGGAACGACATGAAATAGACGGGAGATGCATACAGCACATTGGCACTGGGTGATCGGAGCAATTTTAAAAACTGAACTCCCCAATATTTGTGCTGAATGTAATTATAGATAAATGGGACGATTTTCTCGCACCAGGGTCTACGAATAGGTTGGTCTTCCCTATGGGGGTAACTCCACCCGCGTACATACTGAAGAGGGTTCGCCCAAAAGGATAAAGCGAAGCTGTGAAATTTTCTCTGTTCCTCTCTCCACAGGTTATCATCATAGCCCTGCACACAGTATAAGTGGTAAGCGTATGCTTGAAAGGTGAGGAGAGGTAGTACCACGAGTGCTGCTTCGAGGAGTGCCTTCCCCCAGTGGAGGATAAACTTCAGGAAAATTCGTCTGTCTGACAAGGGGCTCAGTAACATTCCTATGTCTGAGAAGTGACGCAGCATCTGCGCTCTGTCCGTTTTGCTCTGTCCCCACCGTCGAGATACCACCCCTGCGCAATGCACATAGAAGGCACATGTTCTCAGGCTATGCACGAAAAGAGGAATTAAAAATAAAATTCCATTAGATCTGAAGAAGGATGCAACGGAGAAGGACAGAACGGCTAACAATTCGAAAGTGAAGCCCCCCTTGCTGACATTCAGAGACCACTGCAAAAAGGTGAAGCCCCAAATGGAGAGACAGCTAAAGAAACCTTGGCTGTAAAAACTGCTCATGTGTATGTTCCCTATGTTGAATGTGAATAGAAGTGCAGCCAGGAAGCTCAGGCGACGACAGTCCTCTAAACATTTAACATTCTGCATGTAGTTCACCCCCTTCTTTGCACTCTCCTTTGGGGAATACGCACCCATATGGGCTCTCCTTACACTGAGCGAAGTAAACACGAATAGGTGCAACCCAATCACGGAAAAAACAAACAAAAAGGTATTACAAATTATACCGATTAGCACGTGCAGCGAGCAGGCACCTACATTCGGGAACCACCCCTTCACCACTCTCTTTATGTAACCTACTACTAACGGCAGTGCAGGAAAAAACGCATGGTTCTGCTCATAGAGGTATTCTGTCCCGTTTAATGATAACCGTAAAAAATATTCTCCATCCCAGGAGCAGAAGCATTGTACCCAACTCCACAGACTCGACTCCCCTTCATCGCACAGAAGCTCATTCGTAGACTTGTAACTGCTTATCACTTTGGACCATATGATGGTGTATCCTACAGTGAGTGCTCGGACTATGAGAGCAATGACTGCGAGGACTAGCAGGTCGCTGATCACTTTCTGTTTTGTTCTGGCTGCTTCCTCCTCCTGCTGCTTCTCCTGCTGCTGCTCCTCTCGCATCGTTGAGAAAAGGTACCCCGCTGCCCAGCCGCGCAGCTGCTCAGCTCCACAGTAGGTAAAATATCGCAGTTTCCTTATGTGTGCCTTCTTCACCACTTGGCTCCCTTCCTTCGATCGCACTGAGGCTGCGCAGAGAGAAGGTTCACTGCACGTCCTCTTGGTGTCTTCAAAAATGGGGAAAAGGCAAAGCGCACCTCAGTGGTTCTTCCCTATGTGGGGGGAAAAAATCGCCCAAGTGGAAAGCGTCAAATGGGGTGCCGGTCGGGGGGCTAATTCGGCAGCAAAGCCGTATTACCAAAAAAAAAAAAATATACGCCCGGGAGTAGTCGGGCAATTTTTAAGTTCTCTTTTTTTTCTTTTTTTTTTTCCTTTTTTTTTCCTTTTTTTTTTTTCCTTTTTCTTCGCTGGCGCGGCCAAACGGAGTGGATCAATTTTTAGGCAGAGCCTCCCTAAGGTGACCCCTTCTAACGAAGTCGCGAAAGGAAGTTGAGAAGGAAATTCCGACGGCGTGGCAACCCGTGCAAGAGAACAATGCGGCATCGAAGCCCTCCTGACCGCAAATCCTTCTTGGCCTCAATGCCTTCTGCGCCGCTAACGTCCCTTGGCCAGTCGGGACGTCAGCACTGTCGCAAGGATGGAGGAACGGGACGAGGCGACTGAGGCAGCGGAGACCCGTTGGCTCGCGGGGACCACGACGTTCACCCGGGAGGAACAACCTGACGAACGGAGCAAGAACGAACTGACGCTGCTGGAAATAAAAAGGAAAGTCCAAAACGAGAAGGAGGCACAAAAGGACGACAATAAACCGAGAAAGTTCAAAATAATTAACTACACATCCAAGGATAGTCTTGTGAGCAAAGTGGAGAAGGATTTCTTCCTTTACTTCTGTTTCCTCTGCGGTTTCAATTGCTTAATTAGCGAAACAGACGTTGTCGATTTGCCAAAGAGGACGACAGACGGATCCATTATATTTCCCTTTAAAAAAATTGTACACAAAAAATTTCATAAAACGAAAAAGGAACATATACTTATAAGAAGAAAGGAAGACGCGGTAGAACTTCAGTTTCGAATCCTTTGCAAAGAGTGTGGCGTCCCTATCGGCTACGTTAGCAGCCTAGCCGACGACAACGCGTACATTTATTACTATCACTATGCGTTTGTTCGGAGCCAGACAAAGTCGAGACTTTTTAAGGACGTCTCGCTGTGAAGCGAGCGTTTAGTATTTTATCATTTTATTATTTTTTTTTATTTTATTATTTCATCACTTTATTATTTGTTTTCCTTTTTTTTACAAAACAGGACGAATCGAACCCTTCCATGGGGTGCACATGCTGCCCATGTGGTCTTCCCGTTCGAACAACTTCAACACGCTGCGCCATGTTTCACGTGATATGTTCGTTAATTCGCTCTTACTACTTGGCTCTTACTGCTTCGCGTTTACTTCCTCCCTCCTACTGCCTGACTTCTGCTACTTCCCTTTTTCGCCCTGGCCAAACCAACGCCCCTGCGGAGACCCCTACCACATGCCCTCGCCGCGCAGAAGGGGAAGAATGTCATATTTGCTCTCCTTCCCGTCGCGCTGAAACTCCGATTGCCCGCTACCCTTCACTCCGGCCGCCTGCCTCCAACCATCTGTATTCCTCCCTGGGGGGATACTCCGAACTGCCTGACCCGGACCCTCCACCCCAGCCTGGTACTTCTTCTCCGTCGTCGAAGTTATCAAATTGCTGACGTTCGGTTCGAGATTCACCTCCATGTTGAAGAAGCCTACTCTCTGAATGGACCCTCTGACTTCGTGTGGGTCTCCCTTTTTGGTCCGTGTGCTGGGCATGACAACCTACGCGAAAGGGGGAGGGAGACAGAAGTGGGCACGTGGCTTAGGGGCGCAGTGCTGGGAAGAGGTGTCATTTCTCCCATTTTATCGCCGCTAATATCACCGCTAATATCGCTGCTAACGTTGCCCCACTGCAGACGTACCATTTTCCCCATGGACCACGTCGTTACGCCCCTGTAGATGATGAGGATATCCCCCACCCTGAAAAAGTACTTGCAATTGGAGGGGCTGTTAATTTTGGTCAAGTTTGATGGACCTGTCAAATTGGACGCGTTTGTTGTGTTCGTCCCGCTGAGAGGCTTTTTCCCCATGCCATGGAGGAATCTTGTGTGTTCACTCGACGTTCCGCTACCCACATGATGGTTCAAATTGAGAGGAGTGGAGCTGTACCACTCCACCGCATCGTCCAAGTCATCATTAAACAAGTCTACATTCTTTCTGGTGAGTTCCTCTTCTATGAGTGTGCGGGGAATGCATAATATGACTGAGCCACTTATGTCTGCCACTAGGTAGTGGTATTTTACTATGTTGTTTATATGGTCTGGAGGGTCCTCTACAAACTTCACGATAAGGCACTGTATGCAGAGGTTGCTCATTAGCGGCTTGAGGTCCTTAATCGGGAAAAACGTTTCATCAGACATTCTTCCACTACGTTTTTCTCCCACAGGTGAACAATATGCAGTGCGCGCAGAGCTCGCCTCTCAAGCGGCTTCTTAACCGCCTACCAGACCAATCTTTACTCCACCACGAACAGTGCCAAGGTGGCTCAACTGAAAACACTTTTCCGATTCACACTTCTCTACGATGGACACGGAAAAAAGCAGCGTCGCGGGGGTCCTTCGTTATTTTGGAAGGGCCCCCCATAATTTTATATCAAAGGGGCAATTCCTCTTACGTAAAAAAAAAATAAAGAAAAAAAAAATTAAATAAATTAAAAAAATAAATGAGAAAGCAAATAACAAGTTAAGCATCCCCTTTGCCCCTCACGCGCTGAGCATCAGTGGTGCAGATGGATCAGCCGTGGGGGCGCATGTGTCCGGGAAAACTATTTTTTACTACGTAAAATGAGATAGCCAAGAGGACGGTGGAAGGTGTCACATAAAACAAGGGAGGAAGTTACACGGGAGGGAAAGAGACTCGTTCCTTCTCTCGCAGTGTCACGGGCAGAGCAACGGGGCAATAAAATGGGGGGTGGGGGAAGCAGTCCCGCTCCGCGGCTATGGCGTGAAAAGAAGGCCAAAAAGAAGCAAAAAAGAAGCAAAAAAATGGGGGAAAAAAAACGAAGCTACTTAAAGCGAAATGGAACCAAAAGAATACACAACGCTGCAGGATAAGTCGGCCGAAACATTCCCCTTTTGAGGAAAATTCTGAACAAATTATGGCCGCCGAAATGGCACGAAGGCGATGCATGGTGACATAAGAAAACGGACTCACGCAAAAGAGCACGAATGTTTTTTTTTCTTGCTGTATGTGTGAGCTGCCCGCCGTGAATTACAAGTTGAGGGAATTCGCCCAGGTAGCCATATCCGCACGGGTGGCCTATGTCTCCGGCATCTTCGTTATAAGCAGGTGGGACAGGAACTTGAGGTGAAAGAAGAAGAAGGGCCTGAGAAATGGGGCGCCGAACAGGGTGGCTGTAAATATGCACAAAGACAGTCACGTTCAGGAATACTCACTGACGTTCAGGAATACTCACTGACGTTCAGGCATACTCACTGACGTTCAGGCATACTCACTCCCCTTCGCGCATAGTGAGATGCATTCCCACCTGTACTGCCGGTTGTTGATGTTGAGGGTGTCCTCGCAACAGCTGAGCTTCAACTTGGACCGAATTTTAAAGGACAACCACTTCAGCATGTTGTTGCTGGCGCTCAAATAATTTTTTAGACGCAACTGAATGATATTTTGATACTTCAATGGTTCGCTGAGAGACTCTGGGTAACTTATTTCAATGACCTTCTCAGGTTCATTGAATGTATACTCTCCTATCCTGACCTTCTTAACCAAGCCATTTTCGGTCTCCCCCTGAAATTTTATCAAAGCCTTTATCAAGTCATAACTTGGGAGGGACAAATCCCAACTTCGTATTTTGTTATACGATATTTTTAGCGCTTCCATGACTTCCTTTTTGTTCACTTCGGAGCGCATCACTAGCACTTTGTTCGATTCGTGCAAGAAAAGGAGGTAGCGGAAGTAGGTCACTACGCATGGGTTGTAAATGACTCGATCTCTGTCCTTCGGGTCCAGGTGTATATTACCAATGTCCTTGAGGCCTGTCATTAGGGGAAATGCGATCACTGTGAGTGGTGCACAACAGCAGCATCGCTTAAAAGTTCGGAAACATGTGGACAAGCACATACATTTACGTGCACATTAGCTCTTTTGCAATATGCAGCATGTGCGATTTGCGCCTGCGTGGGCTTTTTTCCTTCCCCTTTTCAGACACTCACATCTTATGTACGTGACACAGCTGATGTAGACGCCGTCGTGCCGGATGCGGGGGTATTCCAACAACAGCCTGGAGGGCGTAGAGCAGGGAGGATGTGTGGAGGGTCATTTTAGCCATTCGGCTGCTGCGTTCTGTGCATTTTTTGCGCCTTTTGCGTTCTTTCCGATTTTTTGCCGAACTGCAACACCTCTCTGCACGCTGGCACACCTCTTGAAGGAATTTCCGTACGCCCTGCTCTTCTCCTCACAGTTGCGGAAGTTCCTGTCGCACAGCCGCTTATATTCGCTTTCAACCGACACATGGGAGTGTATCCCTTTGCAGGAAAAGAGGAATCTACATTGCAGGGCCATGGCAAAGAGAAAAAAAAAGGTATAAAAATAAAATAACCTATCAACGGTTCATACGACGTTGTGTTGACTCTTTTGTCTCCCCATTTTTGCCTCCCATTTCTGGTACAGGTAAAACGTGTTGCAGACAAGGGGGGCACTTTCTCTCGCGGGTAAAACGTAGCACTCCTTGAAGGTGGCCACGTTGATGGGCCCCAAAGGACAAAACAATCCCCCTTCGCATAGGTGTGTTTGTGTGTGCGGATGTCAGGGGGTGCGCAAAATCAAATAATTCAACACGCGCATTTGGGGAACACATTTTTAGGATGCTACAACTGTATAGGAACTGTTTAGCGGCAACTTATGCAGCTTATCTTCCATTCCTCGAAAATTTCTCTCCCATGTGTTCCCTAGGTTAGTAGACGTCATGTTCTTATTTGTGTGATGAGAACCCCGTGTTGACAAACACCCCCCACCAACACCCCGGCGCAGAAGGAAAGATGCGGATGATACTCTGCTGACCTATGGAGGGAGTAAAAATCCAGGAACTTTATGATGCCAAAAAAATTTTCTGTTAATATATTAATTAAGTAGACATTCTGCTCTCTCTGGGGGGTTTCTTCTACGGGGTTATTTTTATCACTGCATTTTGCAAAAAGGGGGGAAAGAGAAACGGGGGAAGATGGCCGTGTTATCATGCAGACAAAAATGGATTTCCATCTCTATATTATGAGCATCTGAACGTGCATACTGAAGTGACTGAACCTTACCTGCTGCCACCCGTGTCATCGATATATATTTTGAGAACATTTGGATAGAGCTTGACAGCTTCTTGATAAAATTTTGTTGCCTTTAAATAATTTTCATCACGCTCATGGTTTAATGCTTGCAGGAATAATTTTTTTGCTTTTTCCTTTTTTGAGTTTATGCAATTGGTAGACGACTTGTCTGGGGGCTGTTTCGTTTGTTCGAACATTTCTCTGATTTGTGGTGGGGGGAGGGTGCTTAGAAGGGGGGAAAAAGACGCGATTAGGGGCGATTAGGCGCGATTTGTAGCCATTTTTGGCGGAACGTGGGCGGGGTGCGTCCCAGATCAGCTGTGTTCACCGGAGGCGCGCATGCCAAGACGCCTTACCAAATTGACAGATTGAATAGGTTTGAAATGGAAAAGGAAGAAGGGACAAAAGGGGCGCTGGGCGCGAAGGCTAACAAGGTGCGTTTTGCGAAGAGGGGCTCCTTTGAGCATGTGCAAATCGGGACGAGTGTACGCTTACGTGTCTATGCTCACGTGTGTAGGCCTACGTGTGTATGCTACTAATTTATGCTTCCCCGTGCGTGCACCTCTCCATACATGTCGGAGTGCTTATCTATGTAAGGCACGTTGTGGACATGTGCGGAAGGAAAACACCAGAAAGGGCTATGTGTAAAAAAAAAAAAAAAATCACAAAAAAATTTTGCAACACCTAAAAATTTTTTTTTTGCCGGAAAAAACGCAAAAGGTCAAAAAATCACTGAGCCTACTTCACCAAATGGGGCTTCAAAAAACGGATTGCATTCATGTGATGTAAAAGGGTGAGTACGCTAAAAGGAAAAAAGAAGAAAAAAAAAAGAGGAAACAGTAAAACTCTGCATCCTGCTTATTCCCCCGTGAGAAGTTCAGAAAACAGGTCAAAAAGGCACATTGTCGAAGTGTAAAAATGGGTGTTATAATGAGAGGGCGCGCGAAAGGAGCCAGTTGCATATTCGCCATACACATGTGCCTTCACGCGTTGGCACAGGAGTATGCAGTACGCGCGCGCATAGTAAACACCCCCTCCCCCAGCTCCAGCGTGCGTGCACATGCTTCCTTATGCTTCCTTACATGCACAAAAGTTTGCCCATTTAGACCTGCGTGAAAAAAAGCCAAATGTGCATTTACGCTTGTGCCTGCAATTGCCCGCCATTTTCGTGTGTGCGCGAATCTTCTTCCAATTTGCTTCCACTTTGCTTCTTCCATTTTGTTTGCTTCTCCTTCCATCTGGGTTTCCAGCAAATTTGCAAAAAGGTATGTACACAAAAAATGTGTCCTTATTAAATTTCGCTTCATCCCTTATATGTTCCCCACATCCCTTTAATTCCCGAACCTCCTTCGTTCGTCAACATCGGCTGGAACGTGTGTTAAGGCCAGCTTTAACGCCAACTGTAGCTGCAGCTTTGGCATTAGCTTTAGTGGCAACTTTACCGTTAGCTTAACTTTTTCACCCCCAAGACTGCCTCCACTTCATTCGCGAGTCTGTTCGCCACATTCGTCATACTCCCCTGTCGGAGCTTACTCCCCTCCCCACCGCTTTGTTTTTTTTTTTTTTTTTCCTGCATGGCTTAAGCGCATAAAGCCAGCGGGAAATAAATGAAATTTATTTCACCAATTCGGCAGGCATAATTTTGGCGAAAGATGTGTCAAACCCTGTAACGTTATGATAATGTCCAATTGGTTTTCTTATTCGTGACTCAAAGATTGAGAGTTATTTTTTTAAAGGAAAAGTTCAACTTCCATCGGGATCTCCCCTGCCGCGTGCATGCTGCTTCAGTTTGAAGAGCCAACGGGTTGTTTATCCCTCCAATATTTGTCCTTTCTCTTTCACAAAAGAAAGAAGAAAAGACAGGAAAAAAGAGAGGAAAAGCAATTGTCACCTTTGGACGGTATGACCGATTAAAATTTCCCCCAAGTGTTATACGAGCATCCGTCTTCCTTTGCACCCCCCGAATGTCATGTACCTTTACGTACATACACAGAGAACTGCAGCGAGGAGCCACACCGCATCTTCGTACGAATCTGCACACACGCAACGCATAGAACAACCAGCCCCCCGCAGAAATGAGCCACATGAAGTTTTTTAAATATTTCTCGGAAAAGAATCGGCAGAAAAACAACGCCCCCCCGGAGAGCTCCTGCGGAATGTCATTTCACAAAAAGAGGTTTCGAAAATATTTAAATTTTTTAATCATCAGACATAAAGGGAAAGACAAAAAAATAATTACCGATGAGAAGGACAACCTGGAGAAGGAAGAGCAAGAAGAAGGAGAGAGGGATGGCTGCATCCCTCGAATTGGAAACAACATTACGGAGCAGAGGTCCATCAAAATGGACAAAAATGGAAAACATAGAAATAGTGCAAATGATGCAAATAGTGCAAGTAATGCAAATAATCCAAGGAATGCAAACAATGCCAACGTTTTAAAAAAGAAAAATTTTAATGACATCTTCGCACCGAGCAAAAACTTCAAAATGAGTAAACACAGCAACTGCACCATGAACAAAGGCGGAACGCGCAATAGTGTGGAGAGGACCAAATTATTTAAACTAAATTACGATCATCATAAGAAAAGCAGGGGGCCTTTATTCAAGTTCCCATTTTTAAAGAGAAATAATTGCAAAAAGGAGGAAATTCAAGACTTTATACAAGTGGACAGTACTGCAGGGCTGGAATTTTCCACCGATGCTCAAATGAACGATTATAAAAATCAGGTAGACAGATATGCCTGTGCACATTCGTATGGGAATCTGAACTTTTGCAAAATGTACTCCAAGGGGGGAAATTTTCAGAGTTCGAAAAATATGTATGGTGAGGATAGAGACATGTTTACCAATAATATGTACATGTATGCAAATACCATCTTGGAGGAGGCAACTCGGGGGAGATTGCAGAAGCAGAAGTCGGCCACCCCCTCTAAGAAGGCCCAAACCGCCAAATCGCCCAAGTTCAAGGCGTTCAAGTCGAACTACTGGATCTTCAGGAGTGGCGCGAAGAACAGGCCCCGCGAGGAGGAAGCCACACACCAGGGGTTAGAAAAAGTGCTTACATGTGGGGCGGTTCCCAGCGCGGCAGGGTAGCTCCCGAGTTATTGGCGTCTTCCCAGTTGTGTGCATTTTCTACGTTTCATGCATCGTCTTCCTTCGTATCGCCTCATTTGGCCCCCCTCTTTTTTTTTTTTTACCCCCCTAGGGACGACCTCGCCGCGAACCTCAACGGAGACGTCTCTCACAAGGACAACATGGCGAACATGAATCACTCCCCCCTGATGAACAAGAAGGACAGGAGCAGCCAGGTCTTCAAGCTGAACGACGATTGCCTATTCCTGCACGACGAGTACGAGAAGCAAAAGAAGGGGAGGTTCAGAAAAACACTGTCTATATCTTATGGAAGAAGGAAGAAATCACTCAGGCCAGACAACTTCACCTTCTTAAAGGTAATCGGCAGAGGCTCATACGGAAAAGTGCTGCTTGTAAAGCATACCCAAAACAACAAGCTCTACGCCATGAAGATACTCAGAAAGGAAAACATAATTTCAAGAAATCAACTGGAACATACGAAGATCGAAAGGAATGTCTTAAAGTGTGTCTCTCATCCGTTTATTGTCAAATTGTACTATACTTTTCAGACCTCCAAGAAGTTGTATTTCATATTGGAATACTGTCCCGGGGGGGAATTATTTTTTCATCTATCCAAAATGAGAGAGCTTACCGAAGAAGCAGTCATATTCTACATGGCGGAGATCATCCTAGCTTTGCAATACTTACACAAGCTAAACATAATTTATAGGGATGTGAAACCAGAAAATGTGTTACTTGACGAAATGGGTCATATAAGGCTAACCGATTTTGGCCTATCCAAGGAAGGAATTTCGGACAACAACTCTGCCAAGTCGCTTTGTGGTACCCCCGAATATTTAGCTCCTGAAATTATCGACCAATGTGGACATGGGAAAGCGGTTGACTGGTGGAGCCTCGGCATCATGCTGTACGAAATGTTAACTGGAAAATTACCGTTTAATAGTTCCAATAGAACTGTCCTGTTCAAAAGAATCAAACACGAGACGTTAAGATACCCCTGCTTCTTATCACCTGATGCTGTAGATTTGTTAAAAAAATTATTTGAAAAAAATCCAAAGAAAAGATTAGGGTCAGGAGCTACCGACGCAGAAGAAATTAAGAATCATCCTTTTTTTAAAAATGTCAACTGGGATGATGTGTTGAACAAGAAGGTCAAACCGCCTTTTAAACCCCCCCTCTTTGACCAGATGGACCTTCAAAATTTCGACAAAGAGTTTCTAGGCATGCCGCTACGGTACTCGGACAAGTTTGACAGCAACCCGGTTGGCTTTAAGACGCAGGAGAGCTACATGATCAAGGACTTCAACTACAGTTTGTATGACTAGTTGGTGGGGATGTGGCCGTGCGCAGGCAGATGTCTTCGTGGCGCCCCCCCCCAGTGTAGTGACCCCCAGCGTAGTGACATGGTTACCCATTTCACCATCTTGTCAAATAGCTAGCCAGCTAGCCATTCCGCTCCAGAAAAAAATGCGCAAAAGGGGTAGAAAAAATATGAACATTTTTTTTTTTAAATAGCTCAAATGTTCATATTTTTTAACTGTGTCCAAATGTTACGATTGGTGCATTCTGCACACAATACACCCATTTGGGATTTTGCTCCTATCTGGCCTCTCACACCTGGGAAGCACGCATATATTACTTACTCCCCTGTTTCGTTTAATGTTTACATCTTTTACTCTTTTTAAGTAGCCATCCTGTATTATGTTAATTTTTCTTTTTCTTTTTTTGGTAAGTTCACTTTGCATTTTGAATGTTCACTGGGCATGCGCACAAAATGGTGCCTAATTAGACACGAATCTGCCTGCGCGGAGTGTCTGTTTTGGTTTGGTCGACCCCCGTTTGGTGGATCCCCGTTTGGCCGACCACCGCTTTGTTTGTATAGTAGCTGCCCCTGATTTGTGAGCCCCCTGGGGTGCTCTCCTCGATGTTGTATTTTTAACAAGAAAATTCCCCCTTTCGCCTGTGTATGTTTATGTGATGTTCCTCGCTTGCCGTTTGATTTCCTTCACGCGCGATGGCTGACACCCCTGTTTATTTTTTTTTCTCATGGGTAGCCTTTCTTCAAACATGTATGGATGAGGTGTCAGTAGGGTTTTCCACGCAGCATGTTGGACGCGTCCTTGGCATGCATAAATGAACGTCTTCTTTCGCTTTTCATGAAGTTTGCAACAGGTGAAGCAACCCTATGGTACATTCGAGGCAATGTGCCTTTTTTTTAATTTTTTTTTACGTATAGCTTATTTTTTGTTACAGTTAAGTTTTTTTTTTTCCTTTTTTTTACTCCTCTTTAAGTCACCATAACAATTAATTAACAGGTCTATTCTTACGCACAACGTTGCTCCTGCTGAGCAGGCTCTCCTCGATGCGAGCGCATCACACGTTTTATTTAAGAAAGAAGGCAGTGCGGGGAGAGGCACTCTAAGAAAATAAACTACAGTTTTGCCACCTTTTTTTTTAATTCATCATTTTTTTTCACCTGGGGAGTCAGGCGCCAGCTGCTCTATCAGTAATGGAAGAACGGAAAAGAACGAAAGTATATAACGGGCATGTTTACACAGAGTGCTGTTGTGGGGATGTCTGCAGGGGAGTGGTCCCCCACTTCCACTTCACTCCCTCGCTCGCGCGATTTCCCATGTGTGCATCTCTGCTTTGCCCTCTGTCCTTTTTTTTTTCTTAAATTAAACTTAAAATGGTAGAAAAGTGAAGAAGTTTTTCGCTTACATGTGCGATGACGTATGTGTGTTCCATACGTATGCCTTGCCAAATTATAAGTGCATTTTCATGCGAGCACCTCGCACATTTGTACACATGTAGACATGTACACGTGTACACATCCACACGGATGAACAAAGAAGCTAAAATGTTAAGTGGAACATCTTCGAAACGAAATTGACAAGAAAGTTGTCCCTCCTTGTGCTTAAAAAAAAAAAAAAAAACTTAAAAAGTATCTTCATGAATGAACGACGTCCATCTTGATGAGGGGAGAGGACAACGTTTCACTAAAAAGGAGCCACTGGCAGATGGCTAGTAAAATTTCTGTATAAGCTCCACCACTTCTTCAATGTTGTTGTTCTTTACAGATCCGGCGCAAATTTCCTGGAAGGGGAGAGGTAAAGGTGAGGAAAAAAAAAAAAAAAAAAAAAAGAAAGCCATATGTGCATACTGTGTGGAGTGCACTGATGTCCCTCAAAAGGGAACTAATACAGCCATTGTGGTGTTTTCTCCATCTCGAGACGGTACTTACCGTATGACATGGCGCCTTTTGAAATCGAAAGAATTCCGAGTTAGTGCCCAGTAAACATTCCGTGTCGTCGTTGTAGTCATCATCCAGGCTGTTATATTTGGACATTTTTAAAATTTCACTGAAAGGGAAGGGGTGTGTTGGGGGGGAAGCGGAATACAAGGTGTGCATAATAACATATTTGGCGAATTTGACGAATCGCTGGTTTGTACGATGCGGAGTGTGGAATAACGCGATATATTCATCGCATCTTCCTCTTGTCTTACATTTCCCTCTCCAAGTCCTCCTTAATGACTTGCTTCGGCCGCGAGTTGCACAAGTCCGTCTTGTTGCAAAATATGATGATGGGGATTTGCTTTTTCACGACAACTCTGTTGGTGTACAACTCGAAGAGTTTCCTGTGGGGGGGAAGCGTTTTGCGGGGGGAAGAAGCGGTTTTCCACTCTGCACCGTTTCAAATCGGTTTGCCGCCGACCCCTGAGGGATGCCCGATGCAGGATAATCTGCCGTACACTCGCACTCAGTGTGCATTACTCCGCAACAACTTTGAGGGCCTGTCGATCCGAGCAGTCCAAAATGTAAATGATAACATTGGTGATGCTGAAATACTTATTTAGCCCGAAGGACAATTTGGGGTGACCAGGGAAGTCCACAAACCGAATGCACTTTTTCCATTTGTTATTCTTCAGATTTATAAATGCTACATTTTCTTTCATAGAAGGGACTGTTGTGCATAATTTGTCTGTTCTTAATTTGAATAGGAAAGTTGTCTTCCCACTGTCACATGGACCTAAGAGCAAAGCTATTTTATTCGGTTTGGATCCTTTGAAAAAAATGCTACACAGTATTACGATGAGGTAAAACAGAAATGCCAGTCCGAACAGAATGGAAATTATAAAAAGAAGGTTGTGAAATTCGTTCAGGTTTATGCTATATTTCATTTGGTAGGATCTGATCTTTTGGACTGCTTCCTTTAGCGCGCTTATGAAGGTGTCCATCTTGGCGGGTGGCGGTTAGCGGGTGGTTGTTCGCGGCTGGCGATTTGTGGTTCTCCGCTCCTATCGAGTGCCCCTTTGCCAACCTCTGGCTAGCTAACCGGACGGAGATACTACCAAGCGCGTGCTCACCCGTTTGCGCTTCGCACAATACGACCTCTTCGACGTGTCTCCTTTCCGATTCGCCAATAGCGTCAACATGTGGGTCTTCCTTAGGTCCTCCTCGCTTCCTGCGTGGCTAAGTGGGAGCCAGTAATGTCACCTCGGATGGTCACGCGAAGGCAGTTATCAAACTGGTCATCCTGTTTTACCCCCAGCGGCACGCAATCGCATTGCTCAGGAGGAAACCCCGATGGCATACTGCCGTGTTTTCGCTTCTAGCAGAATGCTGCCACTCGTACGAGGGGGGTTGAAGGAGGGGCAAAAAAGGGGAGCAGAAGCGGAACAAAAGGAGAACAAAAAAGGTAACACAAAGAGTGCCAATAAAAAGGTCACAAAATGGGCGCAAAAAAAAATAATACCGCATAGCAATAGGGGTGGCACTGTTGACGGCTATAGCCACACGGGAAACGCGAAATAAGGCTACCGAATTACGCAATTCGTTATGCGGTTAGCTGTTCGATTTGTTGTTTCGCTTGGTACTCCGTTTGCTTCCCAGTTCGCTACGCCCTCGTCAGTGATCTCCCTATTTTGTTATACTTCCATTCCTTGAAATTTCCCACCAGGGGCACCACGTTAAAGTGGTTCTCCACCGCCAGGATGAAAAGCCAGAGCGTTGGTAAAATCGAGTACCACGTAAGGCAGAGTATACAGTTTAAGAAAAAAAGAAAAAAAAAAAAAAAAAAAAAAAAGCATGCACGATAATAATCGTTTTATCCATTTTGCAAATGCCGCTTCATCACAGTGAGGAGCTCGAATTAGCAACGATCCCTTTGTGCATTTTACGCACCCATTCCCTTTTTGGTAAAATGTTATTTGGGCTGGTATACTGCATAAACTGTGGCGTGTAATAAGTGGCTCTTTCCCCTCTCCCATAACTATGTCATTTTTGAGGCAGTTCATTTTTGCCTGAACGTTGTCATAACTGTAGTGTACAGCGAACTGGTTGTCACGTCAAACTTAGGCATCGTGTTCCACTGTAGGTGCGTGTGCGGAGGGGAACTCTCGTGTTTCCCCATTTTCCTCTGTTCTTCCTTATTGCTGGGAAGACTCATTCGCCCCACACTTGGATGATGCAGCCGCGAGCTACCCCTTCACCCAAGCCATCTTGTCATCCGTCATGGAGCGTCGGACGATGTTACTCTTCCAGTGCTGATTCTTAAAGCCAATCGTTTTAAGAGACACAGTAGAAGGCGTGAATTTAATTAGCACATAATTGTCTTGGGGGTTATCCGAAATGAGGTAGGACCATCGGTTCGTCCAAATTACCTCCCGTATGACTTCATTCTCAATAATGGAGGCGGACCCCGTCAGAGTGACATACACGTTTTTCGCATCATCCGAGTAAAGCAGACTTACCATCTCGTTCCTATGTTTTAGAAAATTATAGATCTCCGTATTTTTGGAGATGCAGAAATACACGTAGTTGAGGGGGAACTCCGTGGGAGATTTCACGTTCATTACTCTCTGCATTAGTGGTTTGTTTAATGATAAGACGATTTTAGTTAGGTCATCTGTTTTGTTGGAAGGGGAGTGGTGGGGCGGTGCTACTGGGGGGTCCCTACTTGACCGATCTTGAATTGGCCGCTCCCCATTTGGAGCAGTCCCGCCCTCCCTTCTACCGTTGACCCTTTCGTGGTTACTCCTCTGAGAGGCTAATTCTGCTTTGCGCGCCTCTGCCGAGATGGAATCATCCACCCCGTCTACCGCATATGCCGCGTCTTTCGTGTCCACCGCGCCCGGCTCGTAGTTCACTTCGGACTCCTCGGGTCCCAAGGGGTCCACGAAGAAGGTCTTAATTTCGTCACCCTCCGAATACATACAGAAACATTTCGAATTCCCCCTTATGAGTTTGAGGGCCTCTTTGATGATATCATCGGATGACTCGAATGTGAAATTCAGCTCTGCCAATTTGACGCTCTCTATGTATTTAAAAAGATACATAAGGCCAACGATGGGGATGCTCTGGAAGGCTATAAAAATAAACAGCCTTTTGAAGTTCCCTCTTTTATTCTTATACTTCTTTTGGTTGCTCTCCCTTAGTGGTTCCTCCTTTTCGCTCCCACGTGAATAGTCGTCTCTTTCTTTCACGTCTTTTGTCCATCCCGTCCCCATCAGGGGGTCCTTATCCGTTTTTAGGATTTCTTCAATCTCGTTTTTTATGATGTCATTTTTTTCGCTCTTGAAAAAGAATCCCCTTCGTTGTATCCTCGCCAAACATCTTATGTTCTGCTGATGTGACAGGGTACATAGGTTCCTCCCCAGGTGACTGCTCCCCCCGAGATGGTTATTCCTTCTCATGTCCAATTGGCGGTTTACTTGGATTGCTCCGCTGAGCATTCCTCTACACCGCGAAGTGACTCCCCTCCGCAGGTTATTCATTGTGCGCGGTTAAACGGGGGATTTTTCGGCACGCGAATGGGCATACATATGGTTACGTACGTGTGTATAGAGGTAGACCCATTTATGATAGCATCGATGCATGCTCTGATGGGGGGAGCACCCCGTATGCGTCCATAGCGTGTGCTCCACCGCATACCCAAGAGCCAAATGCACGACGTGCAGGTGTAAGTATGTTCTTATGTAGGCAGGCTTATTTCTCCCGGCCGAAGTGCCGCTTTGCCCACGGGGCTGGAGGGGACGTGCCTTGGGGGACCCCTGCGAAGGTTCCTCCGAATGGCATATTGAGCCGAGTGAAAGGGAATCCACTTATCAGTTCAGCCCCTCAGTTTTGCACGTCCGTTTTGCCTCTTCCATAGCGCTGAAGGAAATAAATTCAGCAACTTTTCTTACGAGACCACAACCTGTGAAGCGCTTTCTATATCTTTACCAAAACGTCACCCATTCGCAGTTGTTTGTTTAAAAAAAATAGGCCAACTTGCGTTGGGACTTTCTCCTCCCAATCTGTAATTTTTGCCCTCGTATGGATTTGCTTTAAAAAAAAAAAAAAGAAAAAAAAACACCAACTGCAAATCGGGACGACAAACGTGTAGGGAGAGAAAATGCCAACCACGTCACAGGAACTGAAGAGGAAGGAAATCGACGCGGACAAGAAGCGCTAAACGATAAACGCTAGAACGCCAGATGTGCCTCATCCGGTTCATAATTTTTCTATGCCTGGTATGTTCAAAACTCGCTCATTATACAATCCTGTTAAATGTGCGCACGGGCGGGGGATCACCAAATTGGTTAGCAACAAAAAAAAGTTAAGTAAAGGCCTAAGGGGGTGTTGTATGGTCACTACATGGCAACAGTACCGCTGACCGCTTAACTACCCCTTCACAAATCCGACACATTGTTCAGGTAGGCCAGTTTTTCCCGATGCTGCTTCAGTTTGAGCGCCTCGAATCTCCTCTTCTCGAAATCATTTCCCCGCACAACGCCGTCCCACCTGTAGCCGGCGAGGATGTTAAACCTGTTATAGGGAGACTGATACCGACACGTCGCCTTTTCCGGTTGCTCCTTCTTCTGATCCAAATACTGATTCATGGGATCCTCCTTCCTTTTCGCCTTCCTTAACTCTACATCGTAATCCGAGTCGTAGTCATAATTCACAATATTTTTTTTTTTTACCAGCTTGTCATTTTCCTCCAGATTTTTTTTTCTCATTTCTTTCTGAATCAGTCCACTTGCCCATTCTAGTTCCTTCGAGTCTTTGGTTTTTTTTTTTTTTTTTTTTTTTTTTCTCTATATCTTGATGTTCTTCTTCTTCCTCCTCTTCCTCTTCTGCTCCTTTCTTTCCATTTCTTCTATACTTACTATTCATCTCCACCTTCTGTTTCCTGATCCATTCATCCCTCGAGATGATTTTCCCTGTTTTGTCCCTATAGATGATGGACTCAACGTTCTCATTTTTGTCCTTTTCGAGGGATCTTCCTGCTTGGGTTTCTTTGCCTTTCCCCGAAGTTCGCGGGGGTTTACTATCGTCAGGTGTGTCGCTACTGTCTTCACCGACATGCTGGGATGTGGAGGCAGACCGGGGCCGCTTCCCACCTGCGCGGCTTTGTAACCGTAGCGGGGGCGAGAAATCTGAGTCACTACTACGATTGATTCTTCTGCCACTCCCATCACTAGTTAACCTCCTCGGGGGGGACAAATCGGAGTCATTACTACTACTATTTCCACTTCTTCTCTCACCACCACTTCTTAACCTCCTCGGTAAAGACAAATCGGAGTCACTACTACTAGGATTGCTTCTTCTGCCACGTCGTCGCCTATCCCCCGTTGCGCGACACCCTCCTCCATCGCCATGCTTGGAAAAGTCCCTATTGGGGGAATCCCCCCCAGACGATTCATCACTCTTGTTGCTGCTTCCACCATTAGATCCTCCTTTCTGTCCTCCCCGACTGCATTGGTTATTTCCCTTTCTCAACCTCTTAACACTCGGCTTGCACAGCTCTTCCCTCGTCTCTTCAATCGACTTCCCTGCTGTGAGTCCTCCATTCAAACTTAGAAAAATCTTCTTTTTGCTTTCCTTTGATATGTTCGCGATCTCTATGTTATTCTCTCCCGTGATCGTTATGGGGATGTCGGAACTTCCGTCCGACCCCTCCACCAAAGGGTTATCTTCCAAAGGGTCATTTTCCAAGGGGGGATCTCCTACCTGTGAATGGAATTTCCTCTCCTCTTCTTCACTGTCATATATTTTTACAGCACCCTTTTTATTCCGCTTGTCTTTTTTGGGCTCCTTCCCCAGGTACCTTTTCCGCAAGTATTCCTCCATTGTTTACTCACAGGGGGGGGGATACACATGTGATGCCACAACCCCCTACTAGGACGTAAGATGCGCCTATGAAAGTAGACACCTTCGCTAAGGCAGTGATTTCCCTACCTTTGCGAAACTGTGGAGGACTTATTAACACAACGTGTCACCTAGGAGGGGATAAAAACAATTCCTGTTTTTTCTGCCACAATGAATAGAATATGGCCTGTCCCCCGGCGAGAATGTCCACTCCATTGTAGCTCCGCTTTGAATTGAAAAATGGAGGAAAACGCCTATGGATCTGGGGGGGCTCCTTACTGAGCTCAGCCCCCTGGCCTGACTCTCCCTAATTTCGTCTATCCTCCAATTTGAAATTTCACCAACAGTGCAAATCTTTAAGCATCCCTTTTGACTTTTACGTGTGGGCGGCTTCTCTCTCCCCCACCCTACAATGGAGTTTATCGCAATTTGATTGGTAGCTATTTATGGCTAGTGTGTTTGTTTTTTTTTTCCTCTCTCTCCCTTTTTGTGGTCCATAAGTGGGGAAAAAAAAAAGGTATACGGAGGGGGATACCAAAATGGCCACTTCGACTCTTGCGTGTTGCTCAGCAGAGAAGCGGCGACAAAAAGAACGAAGCAACGAAGTTATGGAGGTATTGACGAGGCCACCTGCGCAACGGCAGAAGGGGAAAATTACCTCAGGACGACCCCGCTTGGCGTCCTCCAAATGGTACAAAGCGGGAAAGTGAATGTTGTAGTACTTTTTTTTTTTTTTTTTTTTTTCTTCTCCTTCCGCTGGGGCATAGTAACGGAGTTTACGTTCCTCCCATATGGAAAAATCCCTGTTAGAACGTTTTCCCAATCCGAACGAGTAAGGGAAATGTTCCAGGGCACCACTTCGGGGGGGCGATGACGTGGTCCTACTCCTGTGGCCAAGGGCCACTGCTCCATTCGAAATAGAAAACCAAAAGTGTCATAAGTCCAAAGGGGTGCAATAATGCAATCCGTTGCTTGGCGAGAAAACAACATGTTCTTCATTTCGTTCTTTTCTGTGTACACGTGAGGAGGAACCGACGTCATGTTAGGCCCCCCAACTTTAGAGGACCAAAATGGCAAAAATGAGATTCAGAAGACAGAGCTGTCGCCGCCAACACGGATTATTAGCACAGTTCAGATTCTTCGCACACGCAAAGTTCGAGAAAAACACAAAATTTGGTGAAGAGTTACTTAAGTACCACCATGAGTTGTACGTGGATAAGGCCCACATGAGACCAGACTTATATTTAAAGGGCAACGAAAATAAGCATGCGCATGATAACAGGTTAAGAAGGAACATCCCATTCGTCTACAGCAATGAAGTGAAGAATATAGCAGAACTGAAAGGAAACCCACTTACCCTTGTTAACGTGAAGAACGAAAATGATGAGTCCTTTGGCGTGGCTACCTTCAATCCGTATGCGCTAATTACAGCCAGGATAATAAGTACCAATGCGCTTTTTTCCGTTAACGTGAATTTTTTTGTGGAGCGGATGAAGAAAGCCTTGGCATGGCGTTCCAAGGTGATTGAGGGGGGGAGGCATGCCAACTGGGGGGGAGGCCTCAGCGGGGGGGAAGCACCCAACCTGTGCGAAGCACCCAAATGGAATAAACGACTCAGAGAGGATGAACAACTCAGCGCGGGGGAGGCACCTACAGGGAGTATTCTCTCCACGGGCACACCTGTCCCCCCCATAGACTCGATTCCCCAAAATGGTGGTAATCCCCCCATCGAAGCTCCCCTCCTTCCCAGCGACACGTCCTATAGACTAATCAACGGCGAAGGAGACAATCTCCCCGGACTCATCATCGATCGATACGATGACTACGTCGCTATTCAGCACTTAACTCTCGGAATGGAATTACTCGCTGCAACGATCAACGAGGCCGTCATGGAAGTGTTAAATCCGAAGGCTATTCTATTTAGGAATGACAATAAAGAAAGATTAAATGAAAGGCTAGATATTTACAAAAAAGTACTACACGGAAGAATACCTGAACAAGTCATGTTAACAGAAAATCATTGCCTATTCCTTATAGATATGCTGAACTCACCAAACACAGGATGGTTTCACAACAGAAGACACGTAAGACAACTTCTATCCGACTATGCATATGATAAGAAAGTTCTGGACCTCTTTTCCTATGTAGGATCCTTTGGCATTCAGTGCTCAAAAAAGGGAAAGGCTAAAAAGGTCCTGTGTGTAGAAAAGGATAGCAAATTTACTGAGCTAGCTAAAGAGTCAGCTTACCTGAACAATCTCACAAATAAAGACATCGAATTTGTTTCCTCTGATGCAATCACCTTTTTGGAAAACTGCAAAGAACTCTTCGACATTGTTATTCTGGACCCTCCTAATTTAATTCCCAAATCGAAATTTCTCTTGTCAGGGGCTAAAAGATACGTTCAGCTTATCAGCTTAGCGAAAAACTGTGTCTCTTCTAATGGCCTACTGCTAATCATTTTCTCCACCAAACTGTGTTCCTATCAAGATCACATAAACATGATTAATGAGTCCTTTATAGATTCGAATAGAAATGTTAAGATTGTTGGCCAAGGGCGTGGTTCCCCTGACCACCCCGCCGATTTGTCCCTCTACCTGTTTGCTGACTTCTACTGGTTCCTCCTCCAGGTGGGCTTCTGAACGGGGGGCAGAATGGGAGGCGGGAGGGGGAGCGGAGCCAGCACGCAGTATCTGCCACGCATCAGCCGCGTATCAGAAGCCAATACACCCGGGTTAATTACCCACACCTGAGACATTTCCAGTCAAAGGACCCCCCTTCTCCGTTTAAGTCCAGACGCCACTCAAGCGACATTCTCCTGCAACAAGGGAGTATAGCCCCTTTTCACCTTCTTTCCTCTTTCCCAACGTAAAAAGCTTGCCAGAGGGGGGGTGAAAGAACACACCTTTACTACTTCCACCCTCTGGTCCAGCACGCCACTTTTACACTTTTCCCCTCATGTGCAACGTTGCTAATGCGTCATTGTTTTAATAGTTCCTCCTTTTCGCATTTTGCATTGGCCACGTGATTTAGCGTTGCGAACTTGACCAATCTTTCCACATCAAATCAGTGTGGCAAAATTGACGAACTTGACTAACACTCCTTTCTACGGTGTCCAACGGTCTGCCATGGTTGAAACGAGTTGGTTGGACAACCTTAAAAAGGCCACGCTGTGTTGTTGTCCGGCCCCACAGCTCTCCACAAGCATTATTGTTTATCAGCAAATTTGACGGAAGAAAAAGGGTAAAGAAGTTCGCCTCAATAAGGTTTCATTCTTTTCTTTCCCTTTTTCCCTCCATTTTTACCCCATCCTTTCATTCCCTTTCTCCTCCCATTTCTTCTTCCCTTTTTCCAATTTTGTACGTTACGCGTAGCCAAGTTTCGGGGAACATACACGGACGGATAGATAACTGAACAAAAATAAGTCTTGAAAAAAAAAAAAAAAAAGGACATCATCGATGATAACTTTTAATTTTTTTTCTTAAAAAAAAAACAAATGCGTAAAGAAAGCAATTGAGATGCAAGGCAGAATGAGTTGTAAAGCGGAAGAACCCGCACGGTTTGCATTGCATGCAAGATATCAAGACGCCTCTACAGTTCAACATCGCAATGACGCAGCGTCAAACGAATTAAGCCAGATGAGCAGCACAAGCGCTTGCCATTCTTCCTTTTCGCAGATGGCGTGTTGGCGCCGGTTATTTAAAAGAAGTCATGGACAGGGAACAAACGAAAAAAATGGTAAATTTTGAGGTTGGAGCTGCAGCTGAAGAAGTAGAGGGATAGGAGTATAGCACTAGGCTAACACGAACAAGAATACTAACATGAACAGTAACTCTGCGCCGATGAAAAACGCGCTTCTCAACAGACTCGCTTCTCAACACACTCCTCGACAGATGCGCTTCTCGAGACACTCGCTTCTGCTCCGCGTCTACTTCAAAATATCCTCACAGAACAACTTGTAATCGATTTGGTCCTCCGAAGAGAACGCGTTGAGCGCGTCGTTGGCCTCCTGCTCGGTCAAGGCATCACCCCAAGTTGTCAAAATGTTCCTCATCTGGTGCTTGCTCAAGAATCCAGAGGCCTTATTGTCGAAGTGTGAAAACATTCTAATGAGCTCTTCCAGGTTGTCTTTATCGTGCACACATACGGCTAGATATTCTAAATATTGCTCGTAGGTTAAAGAATCTCCATATAGATCTCTAATTTTCTTCTCATCCAAGCTTGATGGAGCTAGTCCCAATTTCCTCGCATTTCGTGAAGCATCTTCTATGGTTACTTTTCCATTGCTGCTCTTATCATTGAACATAGTTTTGGCTTCATTTTGATTTACCTTCTGATCTAAGTCTTCTAATCCTACAACTGATTCTTCCGATTGTTCAGATTCTTCAAAATTTTCCTCCTCCACTAGGATATTTTCAACCTCTGGTTCTGGTTGCCATTCGAAGCCTGGTCCCCACATGAAATAATTCAGTTCCGTGTCGTACGGAGCGATGGCTGATTCTGGGTCCGGCAAGTTAAAGTAGCACACGGGGCATTGCTTTTCCATTTTTGCGACAATTGGGGGAAGTGTAGCGACGGGGTAAAGCGGTAACGCAAGAACGTGGTAGCGCTGTGAGAGGGGGTAGCGTGACTAATGGGTGACGGGCCGAACAGATTAAACAGAGCAAACACGGGAAAGCGACTTTCCTCTTATAAATGGGCAGGAGCAAAACAACAGTTGCGACGATGCGCTGCCTTCGTGAAGTATAAAGGATGGGTGAATCTTCTCACTTGCAACAAAAAATGCCTTAAACACACGCGCCTTTTCGGGGGAAGGGTACAGATGCACGTGTTGTGTGTGCGTTAAAAATGGCACAGGTTTTTAAAAACTGCTAAAATTGAAAGAACAAAAAGGGGAGCAGCGACGAAAAAGCGAAAAACGAAAAAGTGAAGAAGCGCAGAAACGCAAAACGGAAAAACGAATAAGCGAAGAAACTTAATTTTATGAAATAAATCAATTCACAAAATGAGATGTGTTGAGGATGTGTACCATTTTCTTAATTGTGATGAAAATTTAATTTTACCTTTTACAACTGCAGTTAAATGGGAGACTTTTCAAATGTAACACCATGCCGTTACAACATCAAAAAAAAAAAAAAAAAAAAAAAAAAAAAAATATATATATATATAAACTGGAATGCACAAAGTGGGATGCATAAAGTAGAATGATGAAGTACCAAACGGATGGATAACTTTTTTTTTTTTATGAACACATACAGGTATATTTTATATCTTCACATATTTGCGTGCAAAAGAGTTGCCTTTTCGCTTGCGCAGAAAAATGTGTACATATAAGGGTACATGTGTATATCGCTTATGTTACACGTGCGCATAGATGGGTAAATGGTTTTCTACTTTTCTTCTTTTGGTTCTTTTTTTGGTTCTTTTTATGGTTCTTTTTTTCTTTCCCTTTGTTCGTACTCCATCACCTGCGCTAGTTTCACCCCCGAAGCCAACACGTGGCAGTAATGTGTGCAAAATAATGAGGCTTACTGTTCAGGGTCAAAATTGCCTTTCCTTAAGGCTAGGCAGAAAAAAAAAAAAAAAAACAGCAAAAAAAAAAAATTGCAACTAATTAAAGCTGTTTGTAAGCTAAAAAATGTGTACAGCTTTTTTTTTTCAGAACGTTAAGGTGTGCTGTACATATATTACACATGTTAGCATTTTTTATTTTTTTTTAACCCATTCCTTCGACTGCTCACCATGTGAAAGAGCGAAGATTAGGGCTACTGAGGGCAAATACAGTTTTATATTTACTTTTATCCCTAATGTAGAATCGTGAATTGCAGCAATTTCTTAGCCTTGGTGGGGAATTTATCCCAATGTGTGTGTGATGTACACCACTGTGAGCTGCTTCCCTGTAGACCCAAAATTAGGACGGTTTCCCGGCAGTTACAGCAAAAAAAAAAAAAAACTGCAGAAATATATAAACAGTTCAGGCAGATATGATGTCACTTTTGTGCAACATTAGCAAGTATTGTTATGGGACTATTCAGATCCATTCGGATGTGTCAACTTCCCCTTCCGGGGAGCATTCCTCGAAGCAGGAATTTTTTGCATCTTGACAATTTTGTTCACTTGCAAGAATGCGCAGTTCTAAGAAGATTACACCCTAATGATGGCTAAACGGAACGCGCAAATGGGCATTTTCGCTCACATCCATGTACATTTCCCCGCACAGCGTTGCATGGGAAATACACATGCTTTTGATGCTCACGGTGGTGACAGCACCTTAGAATTGGCAAATTGATGCTCGTAACAATGGAATGTGCATAAAAGAAGCGCTTGGTTACTTCCACGTGCAGAGGCATATATGTATATCCTTATTCCCTATTTGGACTCATTCCATGAGGGGAAATTCCAAATGAGGACCATCCCCGTGGGATGTAAATAACCATTGCACTCTTTCCATCCGGGCAAGTGGTACGTTCTTTATTCCAATTTGTGCGATTGTGTGGTAAAGAAAAAGGAGAGAAACAAAAAAAAAAAAATGAACAACGTTTTAGAACATAATTATTCAATTTGCATTTTTCCGTGTTGACGAGGTGCTACAAAAAGGATCCCCATACAGTTCCATTTATTTGTCACTGCAAATGGGCTCGCCTGGGAAATTTCACCATTTGGGGGAGGTAGCAAGTAAACGTTAGCAACGCTTGGGGGAACGTGCTTCTATTACCTTTCACCACTTTCTGCTCACCCCCAATGTATGTGCTTTCCCCGAAAGAGAAAGATAAACTAATGGGAACTCCTCTTAACCAAAATGACCACACAGGTTGTTAATCGAATGGGAAGGCACACACCTTCGGTCCGACATGGAATAATAACAGGGTTGGCCAATCTTTAAAAAAATTCTTAAAATAGTTTTGGAGCTCGTGCAAAACACAGTTTGAAGTTCTAGCAGTACACCCATTGGCCTTTTTATACATATGCATGTAAAACTTGAGCGACAAAAATTTAACAAAGTGGATTTATGTCGTGGGGATATTTCCTCATGGAAGAAATAAACTGAGCAAATCTGCTTAGCTAGCGCTAGCTAAAATGGATAAAAAAAAAATTCTCCGTACCTACTGTTACATATTTACAAAAAAATAAACTTTAAAAAAAAAGAATTATCATCCTTAAAACACACAAAAAAAAAGGAGAAAAAAGTGACGTGTCATTTCGTGTGCTTTTAATTCAAAACGTAGACGACAGCGACAGTGATCACAAATCAGTGGATAGCAGGCTAAATTACGGTGGGGAATATACAGAAATTATCGATTGACCATCCCTCCGTGATTACACCCGGTCGTGCTCCTTAAGAATGAGTATGATTAAAAAAAGGATGGCCGATGATAGCGTGGGGTTATTCGACTTACATATGATCTTCAGTTTGTTCTCCAGGTCCTCAATTCCCACGAGAACGAAATAATTATCCAGTGCGCTTGCATTGTCCGCATAGCACCCGCTCAAGTAAATTGCATCTTCTATGTAGCACACACTTAGTGCGTTTCCCTACACAGGGGGGTGGGGTGCACAAATGGACATGAACAGCTGTATATGAAAACCCATACATGCACGCGTGCGCCTAAACGATCGCAGACAAGGGGGGTTAAGCGCTTGGGGGGATAAACAAATGGCGCTGCATTCTGACTTCACAGCATAAACGGAACATGCACACAGCGATCTTCACTTATGTAGTGGGCATTACCAAACAGGAGAGGGAGACGATCTTCTCTGTGTCAACCGAGTCGGCCTTGTGGATAACCTTATCCTTCTTATATATATTAAAATTTTCGTTGTTCCAAAATTTCACAAAAACGTCTTTCGTGATTTTAATGTTCTTCATAAATTTGTTAATCGGGATGGGTAGCCTCAACTCGATGCTTTTTCTGAACATGTCTTGCATGCTGCGAAGGGGGAAGCAGAAATGTTCATTCACAGATGGGGGTCTCTATTGAACAGCCACTTGTGGCTACATACACGTGGTGCAACGGACTCCACGATAGGGCATCCTTTCCTGATGATACAAATTCGGTGGAAGTCCCGCTGGGATTCTTCCTCCCCTTACCGATAGGAAATCTTAATTAGGGGAAAGCCCTTGTACATGTGTGCGCATTTCACGGCCATTTCCTGCGGGGGGAAGGTGTGTGTGGGGAATTATTACTTTTCAAGGGCAGCATTCGAGCGGTAGTTCACGCGAAATTAATTCACATTTGATGCAGAATTTTTGCACAATTCGTGCCGCCAGCATGGAGTATCCACCCACATAGCAGTTGGTCGCATTGGCGCAGAGCATCCTCTCGTAGTTGAGAAACTTGAATTTCAAGGGGAACAAAATTTTGTTCGATATCTGAATATCCACGTCGTAGTAGTTCACCAGCTTCTTATTCTTGACGTAAATTTTTATCAATCCGTTGTTGCCGTAGTAGTGCTGAGTGAGGGATATCTTCAGGGGGAGGGGAAGGAAGGAGAAAGTGCAAAAAAAAGAAGAGAAGAAATCAGTGGATGCGCCGCTTCTACTACAGGTGGGCTATTTGACACTCACAGAAGATCTTTCTTTTTCACTTCGCAGAGAAACACTACAATTAGGCACATGCTAACCTCGAGGTTGTCGTCCCTTAACAACAGGGACCCATTTTTTAATACTGCGTCCTGCACGTAAGATATGTTGTCATTCTTCGTAAAGTACTTATTGAAAGAGGAAATGCGTCTTGTGTCATTCTTTTGTGATGAAGTGATGGAGTTTCTCTTATCACTGTGGTTTGGGGAAATTCCTAGAGGAGTTTCAATGGGGGTAAGAAGAGCCATTCCTCCCCCGTGTTCCTGTGCTGGAACTTTCTTCTCAGTTTTGAAGTGCCTACTTTGAGATAAATTGTCTGTGAACTTGTTGATGATACAGTTTAGCTCGTCGGGATTCATCTTCCTGTTTTTACCTTTATTTTTACTCTTATTTTTACATTTATTTTTACACATTTTTTTCTTCAGGTCAATGTATTTGTTCATGCCGAGGAGATCTCCTAGAGTCTGCTCCTTGGCGTCCTTCTCCTTTGCCTTCAAAAATTTATTGTAATTTAAAAAGTCTTCCTTAATGGAGTAAAAGTTGCTCTTCTTTATGAGGCTATCCCAAAGTTCATTATTTCCATCATGGACATTGTTGTTAAATTCTTTGCACTCCTTCTGGTAGGCACTCTGTTGCTTCCTCAGATGACTCATTCCTTCATTTAGATACGCGTTGAACTCGTTTATTATTTCGGTCTCCTTTTCGTTGAAACGGTCGTCTCGCGCGACGACTTGGTGCTTTCCGGAGTACTTGGCGTCTGCGCGGCGAGGTGAAGGAAGCAGAACGGTTGCAGGGCGGTTGAAGGACGGATGGGGAAAAAAAAAACGTGCCACACATTGTGTGCACCACTCATTTGTGCAGGTGGGCTAACAATCTGCATGTGCGCCCACGCGGATGCCCTGTTATCGCCATCAACTGGCTCGCTGCAGCCATGTCTACGGGCATCATCTCGTTGCACTGTCCCGCGTGGAAACGTACCTTGGTCGACCTTCTCGGTGGCCTCAAGGTCAAAAGCGACCGTTTTGTTGAAGGAAGACTTCTTCTTCGTGTTCACCTGTGCGTCACCCGGCGAGGCGCTTCCATCGGGGAATAAAGCGAGCTCCTTACTCTTCTGCTGAGCCTGCTTCTGAGTCTGCTCCTTTTTTTTCCTCTTACTTATGTTTATTTTTTTCTTCATCCCAATTTCGTTCTCATTATCGTTTTCGTTATGCCTGTCCAGCGAAGTACTCTTCGCCGTGTTGCTGCTCGGAGGAAAGACGTCTGATTTACCCCCCGTCCCTCCCTCTCTACTTTCATCATCACAAGGAGGTTTCTTCTTATTCACCATCTCCCCCGATGCAACTGTCACTCCTTCGTCATTAATATTTGCCTCCACTCCTCCACTGACTGGTTCTCCGGATGGAGCATTCCTCACAAGGGATGAAGCAAATTCTGTGATACTACTGGTAATATTTTTGGATAATGATTTAAATTCACTTTTCTCATGACTTTTCTTTCTGTTATTTGATCCTACCGGGGAGGTGTCATTTCTTCCGTTGCTGACCTCTGAATGGTTTTCCACCCCCATCCTGCTCATGCTGCCTGTTCTTTTGTTTGCCTCTTCCCAACTCACTTGGTCCGTTAAAAATATGTCACTCGATTTTTGTTTTAATTGCTCCCCCTTCGACGGGGTGATCTCTCTGTTGGAATTCTTTTTCTCCTTCTCTTTGAAGAACTCTGGGCAGCTGAGCAGGTAGGATTCGTAGCGAATGTTTACTTCGTCTTCCTCCTGCATTTCCTGCGGAGGGGGGAAGGAGGTGTCGCGTTGAAGCGGGTGTGCATCAGGATGTGAAGCGACATGTGCAACGGGATGTCCAACGGGATGTGCCACACCACGTGAAAGCACCGAGAAGTGAGACTCTCCCTCCATGCATTACATCAATAAACCTGCAGTAAAGCTCATATTCGCCATTTTCCAAAAATTCGATGGTTCTCTCCTTCACCTCATTGAGGCATCTACAGGGGGGAATGACCGATGGTGTGTAACACTTAGCGCCCGCCTTGGCATGGTCTTTACACCTCAGCCTGGTGCTTGGCTCGAATCGATATGTCCGGGGGGGCAGCCTCACCTGACGTAGTCAGAGTAGATCCGGTCAACCTTGCCATGGCTTACAAATTCCGTTTCGAGCAGTTCGAGGAGATCCCTCTTCGTATTCGTGAAGTCTGAGAAGTGTTCTCGCGGGGGAAGGGGCCACGTAATGAAGAAGGTGAAGCGGTAAAGCGGTAAAAAGATGAACCGGTAAAAGGGAGGAAATGTAAACGGGCAAACAAAAGAGGATGTTTAAAAAGGCGCCTCCTCAAACGCACATAGAGACGGGTTACCCCTATGCCCCCCACGTTACATTACCACTAAGCAGCGCGGAATACGACACACACACACCCTGCGCAATAAAAATCCGCTTCTTCTGTATCTTCCTAAATATGCCGTTAATAAAGCTATGATCTTTCAATTGCTGCCTCGCTTTAATCACCTCCGTCGTCTTGAATAAATTTTTGGCTTCACTAAGGAGGCTGTCTTTTTCTTTGTTTGTGCTATGACCAAAGTAGGTGAAGTACTTCCTGTTAGTCCCTTCTTCATTTCGCTTCAGCAGTTTGTATGCGTACGTGATGATGTCTTTGCTCACTGGTAGGTCCGCTGACTTGGGGTTCAACGTGAATGCTATTCCAATGATCTGCAGGGTGGCACACGGGGAATTCGCATCAAAGAAGGAAAAAAAAAAGAAAAAAAAAAAGAGGAAAATACATCTTTTTACGTGCTGAAAAAGCCAATCTTAGCGACACTGCTCTGTCCACATGGCACCCTCTTGCATACGTATACATTTCGACATGCATACCTTCAGGGCCGTCGTCCGCGAGATGGCGGGGTTCTTTATATTCCTCAGCGTGCCGTAGCAAAAGTTAAACAACTCCTCATACTTTCTGTGCCTGAAGAGGTGCTCCTTCAGTTCTCTAAAATATAAATGAAGATATTCCGTCGACTCCGTGCACGTCTTAAAAAGCAATTTGTCATCTTCCGACCCCGTGTTTTTGTATTTGTTCTTACATATGGTCATTGTGTTGTTCGGCTGGCGTCTCCTTCGGGGAGCTTACCCTCAGAAGAAGTTTGTTTCAAAAAATGTGGAAAATTTATCCTCCTTTTCTCTTTCTTAAATTGTTCCAGCGGGGTGGACTGTTTCTGGTGGACCCTGTCCGGTGAACAGAGCTCGTACTATTGTTGCTATCCGCGCAACCACTTCAGTGCTTCACTGGTTCAACGCCTCACTGATTCAATGTCTAACTGCCTAACTGCTTTCCCGCTTCCCTCCTCTGGGAACTGGGTCAAGAAGCAGCGAGTACATCCGTGCCGCGTAAGTGTCGTCAGTCACTCCCTCGCCATGAGCTTAAAAAAAAATCTATCCAAATAATTTCCCAGCGAAGGCATTAAAAAGAGGAATAAAAAGTTAAGAGAATATCCATGCGAGAAGAAGAGCAATACAGGGATGAACTGAGGAAGCACGCGAAAATAAAAGGTATTGCAAAAAGGGACTGAATAAAAGTAGTAACATCCCCTGTCAGCGTATCGTCAGGGGAATGTATCATATGGACTGTGCGATTACAGAAATTACACGGGGGGCGAGTATTTTTTTTTTTTTTTCCCTCCATACAAAATGCATGCGCAAGGGGACGCCTGCGTGTAAGGTTATAAATCGAGACAACATTGAGGTGCGCTCGTCGAATTTCAGGTCAGCATTAGGGGCATGCCCCTCGTTAAGAATGACAAAATTCCCTATGCGTCGGCTCCTCCATTTGGCGGCTTCACAAATTGGTTCAGCGCTCACAGTTCGGCGGAACTCGGGTTGTTATGGCATAGCTTGGCATGGCGTAGCTTGGCCTGCTTTACGGTCACTTCGGTTCCCGGTTTTTCATTCTTTCCCTTCTTTCTGCCCCATTCCTTGTCCCATTTTTTCTCTTGTTTTTTCTCTTTTTTTTCTCTTTTTTTTCTCTTTTTTTTCTCTTGTTTTTTTCTTTTCTTTCTCTTGCCGGAGCGTCCCATTTGCAACTGTTTCAGGGCGCCCCAGGAGGTGTAAAAAGACGCAGGTCCATTCTCAACCGGTGAGATGATTCTCTCGGAGCATCTCCTTCGGTGATACAGCTGACCCTTTTAAGGGGTACCCACCCCTCCACGAGCATCTGCTAGGCAGGCAAAATATATGTTCTGCGTATTTCACCATTTAGCCAAGTTGGTCTGCCTCCATCTTGTGTGTCCACAACGGGGACCTCCTCTCCTGGCAGGCATTTCCGCCCCTCCCGATCCCAACTAGTACCTCCTTATGCACAGCAGAATTTCGCACAATCGGGCATGCCTTATCCACTTCGGGAGGAATTCAGCTCAGTTCTAAGCCAAAGTGGCGCTCGCATGCCCGCGCAGCAGACAGAGGGTAGGCATCCACATGGGTATCTCCTCAATGAGGCAGGAATATTCTCTTGGAGCTGATCCCCCACAAGGGCAATCACCCAGGGGGGAACCCCTTTTACACACCTGCAGATCGAAGAGGTGGCCCAAAAAATTAACTTCAAAAAAAAGGACATAAAATGAAAAAAGAAAAGAATAAAATAAAATCTTATATGTACGTACACGTGCGAAAGGACACACCAACCATGCGAACAGACCGACGATGCCAACACACCCACCAGGCAAACACAACTACGATGGGCACACTTCTATCACCCAAACCCGCACACTGCTGTCCCCTTCCTCCACCCCCCCATTCCCATCTCCCTACACGTCTGTGCCCCCAGGGGAAGGCCGACTAAGATGAACAAACATGGAGAAAAATAAAATGGACAGTGGCGGCAAAGAAAATACACGCCTCGAACAGACACACAACTTGGTTCACATCTCTAACGTTGTTTTGAGTGACCACATAAAGTGGGGCAAAAATGAAGGCGGGAAATATACGGAACAATGGAGGCAACCAGATTCTACCCCTCTTCCAACCCCCCTTTTGCAAAAAATAGACATTCGAGACTTTGACGAATATATTCGCTACATCACGAAGGTTGGTTTATCTGATTTTGGCTTTACAGATGTGAAGCAGCTTGCGTACATATTGCTCACGCGGGGATAGCACTGCAATGTGTGGACAGAGGGGGCGGCAAACGTGCTCTATCCCTGTCTAGCTATATCGCTCCTCCATCAGACGCCGCGCTCATCACCGGCCTTCTCATCGCAACCGTTTTGCTTCCCCTTTTTTGACAGATCAACACGCTGAGCGACGTGAACATACGCAACTTGGATGAAATTAGCCTCCAACACTTTGAGCGCATTTTGAGGAACCCTCCCGTGATTGAAGAAATGGAGAAGCGCGTCCAAGCGGAGCAACATATCGAACATGCTTCTCAGGAGGGAGCCACACAATTGGGAATTTTGGGCCACACAGGTGGCTCGTCAAGCATTACCTACTGGGGGGACAACTCGGGCAACCACGCCAACGGCCTGTTCGCCTCTCCCAAAGCGAAGTCGCACTGGCAATGCAACCATAGCACGCTGCTCGCAGATGATGCCTGGTGCGATCTGTCCAGCCTTACGCGTCGACAGGAGGAGGTAAGTCCGATCACATGGCTCTCCAACCCTTTGCATATCTCCAATGAATGCTCTCACCTCTCAATCCGATCTCTGCTTCCCTTCCTCACAGCTGAGCGAAACGCTGGACTACATCGATCGCGACATCAACGCACTCATCCGCAAGGATTTCCAAAACTACCTGCACATAATAGCCATTCTGAATGAGCTAAAAGGAGAAATAAAAAATCTGCACGACGAAATTAAAACATTGAGAACACACATCCATGATGTAAAAGAAATGTTATTAAAGATTATTCATTTAAAAAAATACAACGATTTGAAGAAAAAATGTAAACAAGTAAATCATTTGCTCAACAGATTTTTACACTTTCGAAGATTAATAAAAATTCTGAAAAGATTTTTACAAAAAAGGAAATTTTATCACTGTCTTGTTGTAGTAAATAAAATTTTTAAAATTTATTTTTTTTTTAAAAAGAAAAGAAAGCTCCTATATTTTCATCAATATTTTTGTAATTTTAATATATCCTACTTGAAAAGTTTCTTCTCTCAGAATTTCCTTTTTTTGTTTTTTTTCCACTCCTTGTTGTTTTTGTTTCGACCTAGGGGGGTGGCTAAAGCATCACTTTGTTCTGCTCATTGGGTTAAGAAGAGGGATCGTCTTCACTTGGGAAGTACCCACACGAGGGGAACAGCCCACACTGGAGAGACATCCCACACAAGGAGAGACGATACCGCCATTACCCAAGGAGATACCCTCTTGGGAGACAACCCAGGACAGTTAAGCATCCACTACCCCCCAGATCAGCTCAAGCAGAACCCACACTGTCTCAATTCTTCTTCTAAAGGTAAATCAAAATTCAACAGATTCGTTACATTTCACAAACGGCTGAACAGACAGTTTATGCGTAACTTTCACAGGAAGAGAAAAAGATTTGTCAAGTGCCGCAAAGCGGAGGAAGCGAAATTTTTTGTGAAACGATGGCAGCAGGGAGTCTGCTCCCATTTTTATAAAAAGATCAGAAAGAGAAGAGGAAACTTTGACCACCACCTTGCCCATTTGAATAATCTCTTCACTCCCGCACTATTCTTTAATAACTTCTTCCACTCGTTGCGCAATTTGTGTTCCAGGGAAAACTACTTAAAGCATTTTGTGGACGACCTGTTTTATGGTCTCTTGCACGAGACCGTCTCGGATTTGCGACGCGATCAATTCTACGACCTAGGGGATAAATCCCTTTTGAGTGCAGAAGAGGTAGCAGCTCAGTCAGGGGAAGAGGAAAGTCCATCCCGCAAAGAACCAAATCCAGATTTAGACCCACATTCCAAACCGAACAAACGAGAAAAAACAGAGAAAGAGAAGACAAATCAAGCACTAACTGCAGAATGTACAAACCATGTAGAGGCGTACCCCTCCGGAAGAATTACCCTCTCGTGCGAGCATCTCGTTATCGAAAAATGTAGAAAAAAGAAAATTCTCCATTTTGATCAAGACGGATGGAGAAAACTGTACAGACAGGTTGGCCTTCTCCCGCTGGCCAATTTAGTGCATCTGTTGGGCACCTTTTTTGGGAAAATAAAAATGGTCCAGAGGAGGATGAATAAGTGGGCTTCATTTTTAATGGCCAAAATTGTCTCCTTCCTTTTGGACGACACGTGGGCGGAGAGCTTCGCGAGGTACACGCCGCACCTCACGCGGCAGACGACGAAAATGGAGAAGACGCCCCAAGCGTGGCAAACACCGCAACCCCCAATGCACAGCTTCCCATTCTCCAGAAGCAACAAATCATCTCACTCCATAAAACACGTGTTCTCTAAATTTTGGAAAAACTACCGAGATATTCACCACACCCTTTTTAAACTCCTCCTCGAAAGGATAAGCGAAGTTTTAAATGTTAGAAGAAAATGCAATATGCACCTCGGCATCAACCAGATGATTTCGCTTTACTGGACCGTTTACCCCATGTTCTCCTTCGTTCGCAGGAAGGGTCGAAGGTTGGAACAAGAATACACTCGTTTTTTTGTGAGGGGAATTCCCCGTTTTGTGAGAAGCGCGCAGGTGTCTCGGACGATGTACCTGTGTGGGAAGCCCCACGAGGGGAGGAGGCCCCTCCGTGTGAGGATAACACTCACAAGGAACAAATTCATCATCGCGAAGAAGATGAAGACATTAAACTGTAATGTTGGTAGATCAAGGGGTGCAGTAATAAAACTCGGAGAAGTCCCCCTTTTTTGTCTCCCCCCGAGGGAAGAAGCGAAGTGTTGTGAGGACCAAGCACCTATACGTACTGACGTGATGAACAAATCGGAGGTGCAACCGCGACGAAGTGGCCAATTCGACGCGCATAATGGGGATGCATATATGTTGGACTCTAAGGAAGAGTGTCACCCGAGGGGATCCCTTCCCAGGTTTTCCCTTCCCAGGTTTTCCCTTCCCAGCTGCTACCTCCCCCCCAGCGCAAACCTGCGCATAGGCAGTCAGAACTTCCACGTCCCACACAGAGTAAGCATAACCATCCACAGACGTGCAAAACAGGAGCAAGTATATTTGAGCCGCTTCCTTCAACGGATAATGAAGAAGACACCTCGTGGGAAGGAAGCCAAGCAGAGACTCCCTCATGACGAGAGGAACCTCTGCAGACAAATCAGAAGGCGCATAAGAATCGAGTCCATAGTGGCCATAAATCACTTCTATGAGTTTAAAAAAATACAAATGGAAAAATCGTTGGAAATTGAAAAATGGAATGTACTGGAGGACATTCCACAGGAAATAAATGCTCAGATGGAAAAATATTTCAAGATAAAAAATGAACATAAAAATAAATTGCGCATTAATGGTGACCTGTTTTACTTAACCAACAGCAGCGTGTCTTTCTTGTGTATCCTTTTTCAGTACATCCACTTCATGCTATCGATACCGGACGTTTCGTTTGAAATTATTTCCAAAATTTTAACTTTCTATGATAAACAGTTTCTCAAAATGGTCCACCATTTCATCATGGATGGACATGCCGTTACCAACTGCACTCTCAAGAGCATCACTATTAAGATCCTCGCTGTTGTCATTCACACCCTCGACTTTGCCGACTCCACGGTCAGGCGAGTATATGCCATTTCGCGCCACCTCCTGTACACGCCATGGACGGAAGCGCCTCCACTGGGGATGGGGGGCGAGGTGAGCGACCAAAAAATCGGCGGAATGAGCGGCGAGATAAGCGACCAGAAAAGCGACCAAGTGAACGGTGGCATATTTCCCAATTCCGTCGCGAGCAGAAACGAGGACCGCCCAAACGGGCAAATAAACGTGTCCCAGTTTGCAGATAAGCCTAATGACTGCTATCCTGGGAAGGACCCTCATCGTAGAGCCACCAAATTGCCAAACGAGACAGCGAATCTGTGGGGCAATGCCCGACTAAGGCACCCTCCTGGGGAGACAAACGAAGAGAAAAATGGGTCCACCCTGCCCCCTGTAGAGAAATGCATCAAAGGGGAAAGAACAACAATCAGGAAAAAGACGTATTGTGGACGCACGAACGAAAGTTCGTCCTTAAGAAAAAATGAGAAACATACTCATGAAGATATATTACAAGGGATGGACACCTCATGGGTGGGCAGCGTTCTAGTAGACTTCACAAAATGTTTGAAGTACCCCACCACACGGAAGCCTAATCGCATCCCTCGTGGCATCCGCCTGTCGAAAAAGGACCAAGAAAAGATCAAATCAAATTTTAATCATATGCTACAGAAGTCGTTCCTTTTGAAGAAAAAGTTAGCGGAAAAGATCGTTGACATTTTATCGACTCGGTTTGATTACTACACAAACATCTGGCTGGTATCGGACAGCCTGCTGGAGAATCACCTGGTGAATTCCTTTAGCTACGAATGTGACATTCTTCCCTACGGGATGCAGCTGCGCTCCACTTTCAAGGTAACATCCGCGGAGTTGCGTTTTATTCGTGTAGGTGGAGCTCAACCAAGGGGATATGTGTTGTGTCCCCCTGCAAATTGTCTCTCTGTGCTGCTTCCTACCGCGTCCGCGTATTCCATTCCTAACCGCTTCCATACATGCCGTCTCCTCCCCCCTGGAACGCAGCTCCTGACCACCTACCTGCGCGAGGAGGACACCAGGAACATATACCGAGAGCTGTTCCAGGACATCGCGAACCGTTTCAGCCTTCGCATCAATGTCCTCAAAGGAAACGACAAGTATAAGAAAATTATTTCGAGGCTGATGGATGAGTCTGCGCCGGCGAAATCAACACCAAGGAAGTCAGCGGCAGAAGAATCCCTGCCTGGAAAATCAACATCAGCCAAATCAGCGGCAGAAGAATCCTTGCCTGGAAAATCAGCATCAGCCAAATCAGCGGCAGAAAAATTCGCGCCGGGAAAATCTCAAATTGACCAATTAATTATGCACTACCACAGCTACGAACTGAAGGAAAAGACTGCTCACAACATTCACAAAAACGTCGGGGACAAAATCCTCATTGACATGACGAATGTCTTAATCATTCTCTACAAGGATCCCCTTTTGTCTGACATCATAGAAACCTTTTTAAACGATTTTCTAAAAATTTGTACGTCCCACTGGTACGTAACCATAGACCCCTTTGTCATTCTGAGCAAGTACAAAAAGTAGAGCCATTTGGGGAAGCGCACAGGTTGTGCACGCTAGGGAGAAAATGGACGAGTCTATGTGTATATATG